TTGCTTATTGCGAGGAAAAGAGAGTAAAGCACGAAGGGTGATGTCGTGCCGCACGATGTGCCATTCCGTGCCTATTCTATTGATTATATGTGAGGAATAAGAGTAAAAGCACGAAGGGTGATGCCGTGCACGTTTGTTTATATTATTGCTTGGTGAGGATGAGAGTAAAAGCACGAAGGGTGATGCCGTGGACTTGTTGATCTCCGTTCCTTATTGTTGTATGTGTTGTGCCTTTCCTTTGTATTAGTCAATTTTATACTTGAAACTGTTATCTCCCCTCAGCATGCTTCCCCTTCCATATTGTTTTACTTGTCCAGTATTTCGATTCCGCTGTATATACATAATTGCACAGGTTTATGTGGTAGTCCAGTCTAGCCTCGTCACTACTTCGCCGGGTTAGGCCAGGCACTTACCAGCACATGGGGTCGGTTATGCTGATACTACACTCTGTGCTATTTTGCACAGATCCAGGTTTCGAGCAGCAGCAGCAGTAGTGTGGGAGCATGCTTCATTTCAGCGAGACCCGAGGTAGCCTTGCAGGCGTCCGCAGGCCCGGCGTCTCCTCTATCCTTTATTTTTATCTGCTATCTCATTGTATTCGAGACAAACAGCTTATGTTCTCTTTCTGACGTAGTATGTAGTATTCTTAGCAGTTCGTGAGTATTGTGACACCAGTCTTGGGTAGAGGCCTTTGTTGAAATTTTCCGCATTTCTATTCAGTTTTCTATAATATTGAGACTTCCACTTATTATTTAATTTCGTTGCTTTTGTATTATTGCCGGTAATTGTTAAAAGGAATTATGTTATTAATGAAAAAGTAATTAAATTTGGCTTGCCTAGCTCTCATAAGTAGGCGCCATCACGACTCCCGAGGGTGGGAAATCCGGGTCGTGACACGATAATACCATATACGCTCAAATTGCTTTAAACCGTACAAAGATCTTTATAATTTGATCGAGTACATTTTCTGAGACTTTGAATTATATGCTTCAAGCATTTTAAATCCTTCAGGGATCTTCATTTAGACTTAATCAAATGAGTCAATATAGGTTATGCCTTGTATTTAAATGGCATGACATCTTCAGGTGTCTGGACTACTGGTCCGATCCTCACAATATTTCACAGTATTGTGCACTATATTGTATCAAATATATCGTCGACGATCACTTTGTATCGGTTCGTAAGCGACATAACATGTTGAGATCTCATCACTTTTTTTATTTTCATGTACCTGAACTTCTTCTGGAGTTTCATGAAATGTTATGTCGTGGGCTCTTCTAGAGCTTATTTCCTCCTCATTATGATCATCTTGATCATTAGCTCCTTATCATTTTTCAAGGATTGTTACCTTTGGAACCGATTGGTCTACCACGCTTCATGCAAACAGTAAACTCTATCCTTCAGGGACTTTAAATTTTAATAGGAGCATTTGCAGCTGAAATATGATATTTGATTTTGGATCAGCAAATGCTTCTGGCATTTGACTTGAATTATCTTCTAAGTGAGGATCATATTAATGATAATTCGATTCATATACCATATTTTTCAGTTGTTTATTCCATCCCCCAAATGTTAGAAAACTAACATATATTCCCAATCTTCTTTGGGAAACATATCTTTGTGTATTGTGGTAGAGAAATTAATCATATACCACACATCAAAAGATAGTAATGATCCTAAACCAATTGTGAGGGGAGGACTTATCATATATTGTTGGTCTGATGCATACAAGTCCTGCTATATGCAATTTAGAAAATCTTAGACCAACACATGAAGCTTTGTTCTCATAAGCAATGGTTTAGACATTAGTAGGAGGTATTCAATGCTAAACCAGCTTGGATATAAACCAGCATTATCAAGATAAACTATCTTGGTTTCATAATCTGAAAGTCATGCTCTTAATTGAGAAAAGCAATCTCAAATGCCAAACTGCAGGTTGACAATAAACATACATGTAACCATCTTATATATGCATCTATAAGTGGTTCACATGACAGGTGAATGGGCTCATATTCACCTTTTATATATTTCAAAATCAGGGGTCTTTGTCCCAACTTTAGCTGGTATAATCAATTTATTATGAGAACAAGCAGCACATGATAATTCTTGAAGAATCTTCTAGTTCTTCAGTATATGCTTATCTGAATTCTCAAATAGCTCATTTAAAAATGGCAAATGAAAACTTCAAGTTTATCATGGCATGTGCTATCTCTTATGGCATAAATTTTTGCATTAGTAAACTTCTGGTTTATTATGATACATGATGTAGTACAAATTGAAGAATAAGGTGGGTAAGTTCTCATATACATATTATTTTACCCCCTATGATTGTGGAAACGTGAAGATTTTTAATCTTCCAATCATTTGTAGTTTCAATATAATAGCCAGTTGTATTAGTAAACTTTGGGTTTACTACAACATATGTTTTGACCACAATCATATAATATGAATGACATATTTGTATATAAGCTCTTCGAGAGACTTCATTTATTATCCACAATCTCATATTTATCGGACACTACTGGTCTCATGTGTCTTCTAGACAAACAGTTAGCTCTTCAGGAGTTTTTGATAAATTTTGTACTACCAAATATCGCTCAGACACTTCTGGTGTCATGAGAAAAAAAATCATAATCAAATGAACAATAGAAAGACAATACTAAATTTATAAATGTAAGAAATTAAGAATTTCATACCACCAATTTTGTGACAAATGTCTCCTTCAGGAGAAACGCCATTAACATCTGAATATTTTATATCAAAGCGGTAACCACAAAGTCATTACATCCTTCAGGGAAAGATATACGAGTTGTTATTTCCTTCGGGGAACTCGATAACTAACCATAACATATTAATGTGGTTGTAGTAGAAAGCATTCTACAAGAATACTTTTGCTTTGGAATGAAATTTAATAAATTTATCCAAGATATTTTACGTACAATGGGTACGTGCGACAATGATCTTTATGCCACAAAAACAAGATTTATATCCTTTGTTATTCTACCTCTTCAGGAGGTGAGTTGTGGTATTTACATCGCTTTATAATATTTTTCTGCTTCAGGAGAAAATTTCAATTGTTTACTACTTCAGGGGAAAATTTGAAGTATGAAAGATTAAGGATATGTTCTCTCAATCGTATTACCTCTTCTGGAGGTGAGTTGTGATATCTTCACAATCAAGAGTGCGTTCATATTCACAAGCTTTATTAACATTGTCACATTCACTCCTGGGAATTAATTAATATTTATCAAAGTTCTCATCCTTCAAGGAATGGAACATAATTATCTGAACGCGCATTAATCACACAAATTGTGTGATGTCTTAGAAGCTCTTTTACGATAATGCTATTTCAGGAGCAAATCGAGGCATACATGTACTATAGAGAAATTTTCTCTAACTTATCTTCAATTGTAACCATGGAAAGCCTAAATTATCACTTATGATGGTCATAGGCATATACCACTTTTGGTGGATATCAAAATTTAGTTACAATGAGATATGCGAAACATAACCACTTCTGGTGGTTGTATATTTCTTGCAAACTCTACTGGAGTTTAAGTGGATCTAACAATGTTATCCACTTTGTAATCCTTTATTAAGATAATAAGGATGAAAACAAATACCAAAATAGGTATTGTATACGTAACACATAACCAAGCAGCCGATGCTAAAGATATTAAACCAAATATAAGTAAAAAGCTCAAATTACTTACACAAATTTGACCACTCCAGACGTAAGTGATATCCACATCACTACTGTCTGAGAAGAAAAATTCATCACCTCAAGTTCCACTTAATATATCAATCTTTTAGATTCAGCAGCGTTAACTTCATTATCACCTGCCATGACTGAAATTGAAGCACTAAACCAATTCGATCTTTAGAGTTAAGTGCATCGAAAAAGGATAAAAGGGAATTGAGAATAAAGAGAATTGAAAGGATTAAGATTGATACAAAGGTGACTAATGAAGAAAAAACAGAATCTTGGGCTTGTTTCTCTGTCAACGATTGGGAAGTGGAAGACGGTGATGAATTTTTCAGGACAGCGGAGGAGGAGATTAAAGATTCCCAAGCACCGATTAGTATGAATCTGCCACCGGCTACAGTATAAGAGAATAGCCCCATTGTTGACTTTGATTTTCTTTGCTTTCTCGTTTTGAGTTTCAAACTACACTGAAATAGAAATTAAATTCGAAGTAAGTACTCAAAATGGCAGAGTCTCGTGCTGAAAACGTGTTATGAAATAAAAACTTTAAATTAAAGAAACCGAAGACAAGTATAGAGAGAGAGATTGATGTATTATCAACTTTCAAAAACTCATCTACATAATGAACTGAAATCTCCTCTATTTATAGAAGAAAGGAAGTTGATGTGTAAGCTGCTACTGCAAGCTGCTGTGTAAGCTACTTGTAAGCTGCTACTGCAAGCTACTGTGTAAGCTGCTTGTAAGCTGCTGTGTAAGCTGCTTGTAAGTTGCTTGTAAGCTGCTACAGCAAGTTGCTGTGTAAGCTATTTGTAAGATACTTGTAAGCTGCTACTGTACCCAGATATAGATAATCTTCTACCGGAGGTAATATTTATCCATAACGGTGTACCGAAATGATAAGCTTATTCAGGAGGCTTATTTTCAATAGAGTACTAAATAAATAAACATATTTACGGCGGAGTCTCATATTGGTAAGCTTTTTCAGGAAGCTTATTTACAACGGAGTACTAAATGAACATCCATAATATAATATATTTATAATAATTTTATATATATAGTATATAGTTTGAAAGCAAAGGGTACATTTCGGCCGCGTGTCGATGCATAGTACTATAATACACGTAGCGTAGTACGACACTAAAATGGCATCGCAGTCTGAGACGTGGCTGTCTACAATCCCCATTGCTAACTCTCAACGTTATCAGTTTCATGTCTTTTGGTCGGTGATACTATTTGCCGTATAACAGTAGCCCACTTTTCATGCAACAATATATTATATATATACACATGCATGTATATATGTTGCCATAACTCAAGTAAAAATTCTCATATTCAAAAAATACTTCAAATTAGGCTTCTTCTTGAATATTCTTCTGCTAATTAGTAAACATATATAAAAAAAATGGTTCCTGAACTTGTGAGTGGTACAAAAAAACGGAGCTGTGCTTATGTGACTTTCTTGGCTGGTAATGGTGATTACGTGGAAGGGGTGGTGGGTTTGGCAAAGGGGTTGATAAAAGCTAAATCTATGTATCCGTTGGTGGTGGCGATTTTGCCCGATGTGCCGGAGGAACACCGGCTGCTACTAAGGAGCCATGGTTGTATAGTGAGGGAGATTGAGCCACTTTCTCCTTCATTAAAATCATCGGATAATAAGTATGCTAGATCTTATTACGTTCTCAACTACTCCAAACTTCGTATTTGGCCGGTAAACTCTCTAAAACAACATGCAAGAGTTGATAATGTTCCTGCTACGTTGTTGCTTTCCTTTCCTTTTTCTTTCAAATGAAGATTTTTTTTAGAAGGTGTGGAGAGAACTCAAACTTTAGCCTTTTGCTATTTTTTTTATATATTTTTGTAAGTAGTAAAAAAGAATGTTTCTTTAACTGTTATGTAACTCGTTTTGGATGTCCCAGAAGTTGCTCAAGTTCAAGTTCATAAAATGCTTTCAGCAATGGTAAGTTAACTAAGAATATATTAACTCCTCTGCCTCAAATTAACTATCCTAATATTATGTAGAACTAATATTTTATTTAGGTAATTAGTTAACTATAAAATAGAGTCATCTACATTTTAACGAACCTGACTATATGTTAAAATTTTTTGTTTCATGAATTCTTGTTCCTTTGCTATTACAGTTTGTGGAGTTCAGTAAGATGGTATACTTGGACGGAGACATGCAAGTTTTTGAGAACATAGACCATCTTTTCAACTTGCCTGACAACCATTTCTATGCCGTGGCGGACTGCATATGTGAGTTGTATGGGCAGTCATGCCCCGAGGTTCTACCGTGGCCTAAAGAGTTGGGCTCAAGGCCACCTATCTACTTCAACGCAGGCATGTTTGTCTTTCAGCCCAATCTCTCCACCTATGCTGATCTCTTGAACACTCTCAAACTTACCCCTCCCACCCAATTTGCCGAGCAGGTATAACATAATTGAACCCCAAAATAGTATATACCTGTATATATTATACAAGTTGGTGTATGCAGGCTGTTAGGTATATATTACTATAATTTAACTCATACCGCTATCTATTTATTTTAACAAATTATAGCAGGTGCCTTAGCTAATTTGTTCACTTTACTATTGGATGGCTAATGTCAATCTTTTGGTAAATTGATATTTTTTCCCTACTATATGACGACATAGACTCATCGATTTTTAAGATAATGTTTGGGATTTTTTCACTTTTAGCCCGCAGCTCCCTCAGTCGGTTGCCCAAAAAGTATATAAAATTTGTATAATTTCTCTATATAACATACAGAATGTATTTATATACAAAAAAATATATATTTTTCGGCTATTATTTTGAGAGCAGCTGTACTCATTTCCCAATATTGTGTTTTGTCTTCTCAAACGTCTCATATTAATGTACTTTAGACTCAATAGAATTGCTATGCTTTCTAAGATGATTTGCTATTAATGTATCTTTATTAATTTTTTTGTAGGATTTTCTGAACATGTTCTTCAAAGACAAGTACAAGCCAATTTCTTATGTATACAATTTGTTGCTGGCAATGCTATGGCGCCATCCGGAGAAAATCGAGCTCAACAAAGCAAAAGCAGTTCATTACTGTTCTCCAGGGGCTAAGCCGTGGAAATACACTGGAAAGGAAGAAAATATGGATCGGGAAGATATCAAAATGCTAGTCAAGAAATGGTGGGATATTTATAATGACCAGACATTGGATCATAAGCAGGGTTCTATTCATATTGCTGGAGTTGAGGGTGAAGTTGAAGCAAACAGATTAGTGGCAGCTGCTTTTTCTGATGCAAACATCAGTACCTTATATGTAACTAGCCCATCTGCTGCTTAGCAATGGCAGTGTTCTGGAGATGAAACTTCAAGTGATCGATTAGATTTTTATGCATGTTACGTTGGACAGTCTACAGGAATACTGCCACTTGTTTATTTCTTGGCAGGTTTTGTTTTGGTGCCCAATAAACTAAGGCTTTTTGTACGTTTGCAACTTATCTACCTGGCCTTAAATGTTTGTAGTAATTACGAAGTCTCTCGATAGAAATTAGAACAGCAAAAATTTGAGTTGGAGTACATAAAATGGTTCCAGCTACCAGAGACCACAGTTGCTTTAAACCGGTGGGAAGCTAGCGCGTTTCTTCTTTCTTTCCTTTTGAGTTCATCTTATGCAGTAACATCGTATAACCTGCAAACAATAAAACTATCTATAGTAATTCAATTCAATAACCTAAAAGAGAATGAGAGATAATTTGGTATATGCTGTAAATAATCTTTGATATAGATGGTTGAAGATATAGTAAATGTAGATTTGTTCTTTCATCGGTAACGCATCAACCCTCTCTTTCTTAGTGCCTTTGCCAAATACTGGTAGACACACAGTGAAATAGGTGAAATTAAGGCGAAATGCAAAAAGAAGATCAGTTTGGGCTTTCTATCTGAGTCGACGTATGCAAGTGGGTTAACAGTATTCTGTATTCTGAGGTAGAGATTGGATAATACCGTGCCTATCTTCTCGACAAGGTGGAATGGTGAGATATTGGTTTTGTATCAAGAAAACATCTAACGCTAATCCATTTTTGCTATCATTTACATAGTCCCAAGTTATTATAAAGATTTCATTCTTTTCGGGCTTTTGGAAATGAGATCATGGCAGATAGGCAGCACCGAGTTACTACAAGCTGAAATAACGCCTCTTGATATTGATAACAATGGGGGAAGGATTGAAGGTTTCAAAAAAAAAAGTTAATCACATTCGGTGTTCATGCGAGAACCATAAGAGCAGATAAAATAGTTCAGGCATTTGGTCAAAAGTGGTGAACCTGCACCAGAGCTGGAAAGTATTCAGTGATTTGCCTTACCTGTCTTCTCAAGTCCCTTATAATGGATGATTTTCTCCTCAAATTTCTCTATAATGGCACCCAAATCCAATCCCAAGACATTCAAATGTTAGGAAGGCGCCTGCATTTACTTTGGAATTCTTCTAATCTTCCAGTTTACCTGAGGTTCGGCCAGCACTAACATGAAGACATAGATGGCTGAATGAGAACTACTAAGAAACAGAGAAGCTAACACCTTGAAAAGTTTTAATGAATTATCAGTTGATTTTCCCCCTTGAAAAATGATCAGTGCTTTTCTATGGAGATAGTCGTTTAATGTTAATATGGTCAATGTCTTGAATTTTTAAGGCAACACCTGCTGCTTGCCATATCTGCCCCATTACCATTTCTTGAGAGATCAGGCAGAGCGTGTAATTCAATGACACTAAAGAGCATCAGCAATGACAACCTTGCATAACAAATTAGAAGGCCATTATCCCGAAACAACAAAGAAACACACATTGCATATGTCCTAATGCAACCTGTTCCAGCAGAATTTACCAGAGTATAGACCAACCAACAATTTGCGGCATATGAGTTTGAGAAGCTCATCTCCCCAGTAAGGCAACACGATCTTTCTGAACTGCCTGTGACAAATTTATGTCAAAGAGCTCACACCGTATTGGCATTTCCATTTCATAGAAAGGATTCTTCAAGACGTAATCAGTGTATAATTCGTAGATATACTTCAACAGAGATTCCATATGCGGACTTCCAGGTTCACAGACCACAAAAAATTTTGTTCCTGCAATTAAATCAGTCCAATTCTTTAATGGGTTGGAGTATCACATAAATTGACACAGTGATTGAAGGAAAAAAAAAAAAGCTACTATAAGATTGAATATCATCAAGTTAAATGTTCCAGGATCACTTAACTCAGGCACTAGTTTGGCTGAAGCACAGAAACATCGGAACTAGTCTGTTAAATATTTACTAAAGTGGCTTCCCGATCATTATAGATTAGTATTTCACCATTTCCGTTGCAGTATCATTTTTTGTCTCGTTCTACTCCACTACCATTTCATGACTGAACTATACAAGCAAACATCTTCCATCTTTGTTCTCTTTGATAGGTGCAAACAGCTTCTATCTTTCCCAATATGTTTTAATGTTTTCAAATATTTCACTTCATTTCAACTTACTATTATCTAAAGGACAAACTTATTTCTGTGAAGTTTCACAATCCAGGAAGAGAATGTCATCTACCCAAGGTTAGACAGTAGTTATCTTGAAGAACCACAACCTCTTTCAGTTCTTTCTGAGTATAGTGTGTTTTTGGGATATTTTCTTATGGTTCACATTTTGGTAGATTTAGGCAACACAGAGAGGAGGAGTTCATGAATATATAATCTCATTCTTTTTCTTGATCTGTCCGAAAAGGGTGTTGGTGTATTTATGCTGCAAAGATTGAAGAGTCTACTTATAATGCAGTTCAAATAAATCAACAGCCAACCACCAGTAGAACGTTGTAGTTATATTTCTAAGACTATCAGTTCACTAGCCTTGAACTTATACACCTCAAGCTATAAGAACAATAGACACCTATCTTTCAAAATAACACTAAAGTATTCATCAAGTGTTAGGTAGACCCAGTAGTCATCTTTATTAGCCTGTTAGATCTTATACGTAAGTTTTTTTAGCCTGTTAGCCTTAAAGCAGACAACTTCAACAAAGATATGGAAAGTGAAACTACAACATGTGCAAGTCACAACATCATAAAACAGATCAAGCAGCTCGATCGAGCCTAATTAGTCAACACATTGTTTTTTTTAATTATAGAAAGAATACTACTCCGTATTAGCCTATAACAAATCAAAAAAGAAGAATATTATTAGCCTATATTCGAACAGATTCAGCATATCTCTTGACAAGCAGTACCAATATAGAAACAAGGAGTTACCGTTCTTCAACAAAGCCCCAAAGATAATAGAAATGATTAGCCAAGTTAAATTCTTAAATACCCATAAGCGTATATAGATTTCAAGAATAATATAGTACAAACACTGGTCTACATATGAATTGGCAATCATATTGATACAATTCAGTTCATCATTAACTCAAACTAGAATGCAAGTCCTTCATGACCAAGTTAACATGCTAAATATTCGGGGATCACCATATTAGTAGCCTTTTGAGTTTCTTTTGTCCAAAACAAATGAGAAAATCTGTACGTCCAGCGACTTATATGATGTTTCCTGTAGATACCAGTGTTTTGAATAGCGTGAGGTGACAAAAAGCGATGAGGGACCGCTTCACTGATGCGAGAAGCGAGAAGCGTAGCGCTCGCCTTTTTGATGTGAAGCGTCAATTAATACAAAAAATAAAATATTAAATTTGCATATATAAATAACTAAAAACTCAATAACAACATCATATTAATAAATATATCAATTCAAAAACTCAATAGATAGAAATCAAATATTTTAATAAATTGTTTATAGAGAGAAATTAATTGTAATTAAAGAGAGAAAATAACAGTTAATTGTAATTGTCATTATAGAGAGAAGTTAATATGCAAGTAATTGTTTACTAAACTTGAAAAAAAAAAATCAGAAGCGAAAACAGAAGAAGAAAGAAGAGCAGAAGCGAAAAACAGAGGTGAAAGAAAAGAAAGAAAGAATATTTCTACTGGAAATCAGTTGTTGCCGGAAAGAAGAAGAAGAAGAAGAAGAAGAAGAAGAAGAAGAAGAAGAAGAAGAAAGAAGACTTACTACCTGAAAAAGAAAAAGAAAAGAAAGAAGAGAGGTTTAGTGCCAAAAAAGACGCCAGAAAAACAGTGGCTTACTGCCGGAAAAAAGAAAGAGAAAAGAAAGAAGAAAGAAGGGAGGCTTACTGCCGGAAAAGACGCCGGAAAAACAGAGGCTTACTGCCGGAAAAAGAAAGAGAAAATAAAGAAGAAAGAAAGAAGAAGAAAGACGTACCTGTAAGTCGAAGAAAACCCTAAATTTTATTTAAGTCTCTTCTTTTTTCTTTCCTTTTGTTTAAAAAGCGACGCCTCTGTCACTACGTCGCCTCGCCGGCGCTACTTCGCCTCGTCGGCGCCTTTTCAAAACGCATCGCAACAGAACCAAAAAAGCATCTGAGCCTCGCTTCGCGTCGCTACTCGCTATTAGCGACGTAGCGAGCGCTATTTACAACACTGGTAGATACCTGGGGTGCTTTTTTGTGCAACAAGATCCTGCGCCCATATGTGCTTCACTAAGTCCTTATGATGCTTTACCTAGTTTAGTTTCGTCTATCATTTAATCTTAAATGTATTGAATTGCCACACTGGTGCATAAAATCTCAAGAAGCTGTTATGAGATGCTGATTGATTGCACTAGGACTGTTGGCGCACGTTTTTCTTGGCTTTAGAGGTAAACAACTAAGATTACACATCAGTGCCGAGACGATCTAACCCCTCCATACCCTATCTGACAGAGAGGTTTAGGTTCTAATTGCTTTTCATCCTCTAGTCCCTTAGACAAAACTTCTAGCTTTTCTGAATTGCAAAGTTGGAAAATCTTTTGGTTCCATGAGTTAAATTGGAGGGAAATTAAATGGATAAAACAAATGAAATGGAGAAGAGATGCATGAGCCACTTAAAGATTCTGCACCATATTTACCTACATAGAAGTCAATATCTACACTTCAGCACGAAATCGTTTTTCATTAAGTTACCTTTTCCCCCTTTCAAGCATATGGACTAAATTCATAAAATTGTTGGGCCCACGATTATGATTACGGTCTGTTAACTTTCTTGCTACTAAGTAAGCTTTACTTCCTTTCTAGCTTATAGCTGCACAGTATAACTACACATTTCCTTCACAAAAAAGGATAAATTGTACAACCTATAACCCAATATATATGATGGAAAAGATCTCAAAAACTAAAGTTGATAAAAATCACAAAAGTAAAAAATGCTTCTGAAAATAAATCAAATAAAGCCAAAAATGGTGGAGATGTAAGAATTACCAGTAAGAGATTGGAAGCAATGGAGGTCAAAGTTATCAGCTTGAAGGAGTTCGATCCCGGCGCAACCATTAACTGGGGACAACTGCTGAGAGATAGCGTGCATAGAATGCCAAAGACTAGCCAATCTCAAACTATCATTTGTGTCCATTCTTCCAGCAGAACCATAATCCTAACGTTATTTAGACACTCATTAAAACCACAACTTACGATAAACAAAAACAAGCTAAGCTGAAAAGTGCGAGAAATTGAATTTCACCTTGTAGAAAATAAGCCCTCCTGATTTATTGATGATGTAAAGGCTGTAAATAGCTGCCATTTAGATTAAACCCCTTTTCTTTCTTGGCCTCCCGTGGCGAGTTGATCTGAATGGATTCAGTTAATAAGCTTAGTTAATTGAAGATTTCAAGCCATTTCTTCCAGAGAACAGTCAAGTTTGCCTTTGACACAAATTTCCCAAAAGAACCAAAAAGAAAAAAAATTCTTGATCTCAATGGATTTAGTTCACAAATTTAGCAAGTGAAAATTTACAGGCAATTATTTCTGGAAACAATAATGCATTTGATTCAAATAGCACCCAAAAAAAACCCCCCAACAATAAAACACACACACACACACACACAAAGAAAAAGGAATTGATCCTGATCTCTAATTATAAAGAGTTGACTAAGCGAGATTGAGTTCACTAGGAAGAACTGGGGTTTGAGTGATTGGGGAGGGGTAAAACATAATGGTGGGATTGAGATGAACCCTAGTTGGGGGGGGGGGGGGGGGGGTATGAGACACGCATAGAAAGAGTGTACCTGAAAAGATGGCTTCGGTGATCGATGTGAGAGCTCCTCCGGATCAGCGACGAATCGGGTTGAAAATGGAGAAGTCCCAAAAGAAGATGGAAAAATAATTTTGCAGAGAAGTTGAAAAAATAGGATACAGTAGGTACTTTGAAGCAAAAAGAAAAAAGAATGCGGTGAACGTGGATCGAACACGTGACCTTCAGATCTTCAGTCTGACGCTCTCCCAACTGAGCTATCCCCGCTTGGTGACAGGTACTCCTTTTTTTAGTTATAATTTAGTCAAAACAAATGAGGCTTTCTCTTTATCTCCAATTTGACAGCATGTTGCCTTGAATGCGAGGTCCTAAATCGAACTAAACGGACAAATGTTGGGAAAAAACGTAGAGGACAAGAGGAAGGGAATTAAAGAGGAATTTTTTTGAAAGGAATGTTTATCTAGTGTATATGCGAACTAGAGGATGGGGAGAAAAAAAAAAAAGGAAAAATGCATAAAGTCCACATTCAACTTGTCCTGGAAATCATTTACACACCTAAATTCTACGGGTGTCCTATTACCACCCTATCCTTATTCAAGATGAATTTATTTAACCCCTAAAATGCCACAACTAGGGCTGCTTATCGGGCGGATTGGGCAGTTATTTACTCTTAACGGTTTGGCTTATCGGTTATCAGCTTTTAAATGTATTAATCCGCTAACCACCCGATAAGATATCGGGCGGACTGGTATCGGTTTAGCTCTTATCGGGCGGTTTATCGGCCTAATTCAATCTATATTGCACATGACGCAATTTACCAAATTTAGCTATTATCTTTCTGCATCAGCGCATTCTTTCCTTTTTTTGCAATTACTTGAACTCGCTCCAAGTCATACACCACTTTTGACTGTCTTAAGGAGTTCCATTTTCTCTCAGGCACATCTATAGTGTGGATGTCGTTGCAGTGGAATGCACACGAACAGATTAAAACTAAGAATCCATAGCAGTGGTTTGGAGCAGATTTTTAGGACGCTATCCCTTTTGGGGTATGCCTTTGCTACTGCGATTTAAGTCTCAGAATTTCAGTTGGGTGAGTTGTGGAAGAATCTCTCATTGAACTTCTTGGCCGCAATTTTCTCAATGTGTCTCAATGCTTTCCTTCTGATTGGCTTTAGTAGCATGCAAAGGATTTCGTGTGTCTCAGACTTGGTCTACGGATTTTTTCGAATATTTTCCAAAACATGTAATGCCATAAAAAAAATTCTACTACTATTATTACATGGTAAATCCTTAACGGGTTAACGGATTATCCATTAAGAAAATTGAATAATCCGCCCCGAAACCGATAAGCCGTTAATAAAAAAATTTCAATCCATTCCCCGTCCATTAAACCGTTAACCCAATACCAATAAGCCATTAAGCTTCGATTCCGGTTCGATTTTCGATTTCGGTTCGGTTCTGAACACCCCTAGCCACAACCAAATTCTACCCAAATAGTGTTTACACGCGCTGACACGCGGCATTTTCGCAAGTTTTTTCATTTTTTTTTCTTTCTTTGACTGAAATAATCGTCCCCCTCCCCCAAACCGAACCTTTCTTTCTCTCCTTAAAAATATTTCAAACATTTTTATCAACTTTTCCAGCTTGCGAGAGAAATTTCAGTCACATTTGCCTAGAAAAGATCAGACAATTCCTTCACGCTCAAACACAATGTATACAAAATCATATCTTTAACTTCTTCTAAGCAGAATGATCGGCCTAAATTTTGCTAATATCACAGAAACATACACATAGAACAGTTCAAATGAACTTCACCCAAAAACTCAAAATTCATGGGGGAAAAAGGAACAAAATCGAAAAACAAAAACTAAAAACAAAAAGGTAACTTTTTCTTTTCACTTTTATCTCAATCTAACAACATGACAAGGGAAGATCTGAGAGGGTAATCTAGGAGCTTCAGATTTAGAGAAACAAGCGTCATCAAGAACATCACTTTTACACCATCGACAATCTTGCTTCTGCAGGCAATCAGATTTTGACCCAATATTGCCGCATTCGGGTACCCGATTTGGGTTTCTCCTACTACTCAATGGTTTTCGAATTGGATCTCCCAAAGTAAACCCGCTTGACGATAACAGTAGAAGAAGCAGTAGAAGTAAGAATTGAGTTCTGAGAGGTTTAATGGTGGGTTCCATTTTTCACGTGCAAAAAAGAATGATGATAATTGTTGATTCTGCAATAGGGAAGACGGCTCTGAAATGGATTTATCCAACAAGGATTAAAATAGCCTTATGCTAAGGGCTGTGAGAAATAGATTCCCAAATATTGTTGCAGAATTTAAAAAATAAAAACAGGAAAGAGGAAGGAGGAGAAATGAAAACTGGAAAATGAAATAAAAAGAGTTAGTATTACACCAAATACAACTAATTAAGTGTAATTAAATGTAACAACCAATGGAAAATTAACATCTGTAAAATTTAAGTAGCTTTTCACATTTTTTCAGCCTTCCACGCGCTTTGAGTAAGGTGAAATTAGTTTCTCTGCCACCTCACCTTTGAAGGAGGTACTAATTTCACTTTGAATAAGGATAGGATGGTAATAGGACACCCGTTAAGTTTAGGTGTGTAAATAATTTTCCAGGAAAAGTTGAATGGGGTCTTTATGCATTTTCTCAAAAAAAAAAAATCATCTTTCAGCTCGCGCTATTACTTGTTATATTTCAGTTATATACTTGTTTTCTTTTTTATTTATTTCAAAAAAGGTGCTCTTTTCTAATTTTTAAAATAATTTAATTTAAAGTTCTTATATTAACATATTTAATACTATAAGGTTATAACTTTTTTTTGTAATCATTTAAATATTTTGTCATATAAGATAACAAATGTAAAAAAAAAAAATCATTTCTCATTTAAATTATGCAACCAGTGAACAAGTTCACACAAAAACTAATATTTTGAAACAAGTATAAAGACGGAGGTCAAAGTCTACTTTTGAAATAGTAGGAGGATCAAATCGCTAGTATAATTCTTTTTTCGATTAATTTAACTTGACGGTCGGCGGTTGGAAAAGTAGTTGAAGAAGCAATGTATGGGAAGGAAGTGAAGAACGTGTCCATGGCTGAATCTTGAGTATCCTCACATAGTCACATTCCTTCTGTCTTTTTCTATTATAAAACAAAACTCACAGAAGCTGAATCACTACTCTATTTCTCTATTGCTTTTCACCAAACACCTGATAGACATGGCGGTGAAGGAAGACAGGAAGCCATCGGTAGAGATCAACAAGCTCAAATTCACCTACCCTGGTATCGATGGTCACCCTCCCCCCGGATCTACGCCCTTAATTGAAGATTTCTCACTTACCCTCTATCCTGGTGACCGCTGCCTTCTTGTTGGATCCAATGGCGCAGGTTCAATTCTATTGCTCTTCTTGACATTGAATTACAATTGTCCTCTTTAATATAATTAAAAATCAAAAGGGTTGCTTTATAATTTTTATTTTTTTTGCTGCTTTAAATGTCCAATTTCGAAATTTAGGGTGCATTTGGTATAGATGAAAATGTTCTGTTTTTTTGGTCGAAAATGTTTTATTTGTAAATCATTTCTGGATCATGTTTCAGCCGATTGAGATATAAAATTTGGTGACACAACCCACAGGGTAATTGTACAATGTACAAGATAAGCTATGAGGACAGTGTTTTGACATTTTTTCTTAGTATTAAAGGTTTACAACAATGTTCAAATGTTTATTGAAGTAAGCATGTGTGATATTTGAAAGGAAAATGACTTCCTCCTTTTGGTGGAAAATATAGAAACATAGCTAACCAAACACAGAATAGGCATTTTTCGCCCTACCAGTAGACCTGAGAGACATCTCATGTTGGGTAAATGGATGTACTTTTTGTAGGGAAGACTACAATTCTGAAGATATTGGGAGGAAAGCACATGGTAGAACCAGACATGGTCAGAGTGCTTGGAAGATCTGCATTTCATGACACTGCTTTAACTTCTTCTGGAGACCTCAGCTATCTTGGTGGAGAGGTATCTTTTCTCTCTGTTCGTCGACCATCTTTTTATGGTTTATTATGTTTTTAGGACTGTTTGCTTCTTTATTTTGTTAAATGCATGTATTTGATGGCAGTTCTCATCTTATGTCCAATTCATTAAATTCAAGCATAACCAAGTATTCTTCTGTTAGTTTGAAAAAATAAATGTGCCACATCTTTTAATGAACTTGTGAATTCAGAAATTGATCATTAAAGTAGAAAATTAAGTTCTTTTGTGCTTTCTGTTCACAGTGGAGGAGAGAAGTTGCATTTGCTGGATTTGAGGTGCCTATTCAAATGGATATTTCTGCGGAGAAAATGATTTTTGGGGTTCCAGGAACTGACCCACAAAGACGAGATGAATTAATTAAGGTATGGATGGAAAATGAACAAAAGTTCTCTGTGCGGAAATGTTTGAAAGTCCCATGTAGCTTTTGATCAACTTGATTTTTGATTGTTATCACTACGCCCTATTACACAAATGCAAAGCAAAAGGAATTTATATTATCTATTACTTGCTCAGTTATTATATTAACAAAGGCAACTCATAAATATAATACGTTGACATGTCCTTGAAGATGATAAAAGCAATCCATGTCATTCTTTCTTTTCTTGGACATTTACATTTATTTCTATGAAATGCCACTAGTTTTGTATCGGTAGACATACAACAGTTGAATGGAATGGAGGAGCTTTTGATGGCATAAGTAGCTCTTGTTTGGATCTCTGGAAGCAACTATTTCAAAGGCAGCTACAGTTAGTTAAAATGAGCAATTTATCCATTATCCTTGAAACCGAGCAATTAAATAATGTAAAGTTTTTTGAAAACTAAACCAGAGCGATAAAGCCAATTTGACAGGTATCTATGGCAAAAAATTTTGATGTTGTTAGTGCCTCTACTTATAAAACAGATGTACAATAATTATATTTTGCCAAACACAGCCACCCTTCCCTTGAAATTACAATTTGTATTTCATTATTCTCTCTAGACTAGATGTTCTCATTTGAGCAGTATGGCTGGCTGAGAAATTTCTATTGCTGTATATAAAACTGTGCTTCTAATCTCTTTATGTGATTCTTCCCTATATCTCAAAAGTATAACAACACTAGAC